CCATAGAATAGGGGCCATCAAGCCTCGACGACAACCTAAACTACCTTAACATAGAAGAATAGGGGTCATCGAGCCTCGACGACAACCTAAACTACCTTAACATAGAATAGGGGTCATCGAGCCTCGACGACAACCTAAACTACCTACTCCATAGACAGAAACAACCAAAACCACCTACTCCCTAAACAGAAACAACCAAAACCACCTACCACCTACTCCCTGGAGTACATCTACATCAACAGGTTCAACAAAAATGTGGCAGAAATAGCATTATCCAGCAACACAAATTAATCCAGCATCACAAATTAATCCAGCAACACAAATTAATAGCATTATCCAGCAACACAAATTAGTACAAATGTCTTGCACTTTTAGTGACACACATAGCAGATAGAGTACTCTAGCAGATACAACTACAATAACATTGAATCATTCATCAACTATCTCTTTGATCTTCCTGATCTTCCCCTTGGTGGCCTCCTTCTCTTTGAACAGATCACCTATAGTGTACTCCAGGTGCCTTTTCTCTTGCTTCCACTTCTCCTTCTCCTCCAACAACATGGACCTCTCCTGCTTGATCTTGTCCATCTCCTGCACAAGCTTCACCTTCTCTTCCTTCTCTTGATCTCTCTCTTTCTCTGCTTTGAGCCTCAACACTTGATGAATGTTAGTGTCTGACTTGTCAGCCAAGTTCTTTTTCTCAATCTGTTCCTGCAAGTCACTAATAACCAACCTTGCATTGCCTAACTGGGTAATTGCATCCTCCTTGTCAGCCACCATTTTGGCAAAGTCAACTTTAAAAAACCTGAGGTCATTTTCCATCTTCCTCTTCTCTTCCATTACCTTCACTACTTCTTCAGCATTAAGTACATTCTGCCTCAACCTATTGTTGTCTCCTCCTCATACATAGTCCAGATGGTATTTAAAGCTTGCTTCAATTGGACTGACCACTCAGGGTCAATCCAGTCCACAAAGTTGCACTTTGGTACATCCTATGAATGTGTGAAGAAAGGAAATATAATTAAACCAATTTCTAAAAACATTACTGATAAAAATTAAAAAAACCAATCCACTAATTAGTCATGTTTTCTACTACTGCATTTTAGAAGTACTGCTTTTAGAAGAAAAATAACAGGAACAATGTTCAATCCATTAAAAGCAGTACCTAAACTGCCTACTACTGGAAATAAAATATAGAGCTAAAATGATTTCAAAAAACAATGGCCACAACATATAAGAAATTGGAAACTGCCTAATTTCAGACTTATTGCATCAGTCAACTCAGCAGTTCAGTGGATTCACATATTACAGACCAATTCTATCAGTAATGAATTCACATTTTCACAAAATCACTTCAACACTTTAAGAACTAATTGAACTGGTAAGAAAATCACCTTCTTTGCACACCCCAGGAACCTCATGCCGCTATCAGTCCATTCAAAGGCAAAAAACTTCTCACACGGGGCACGATGCTCACAACGTGCAGGGTGATTCAAAGCAATGCCGCTCCAGTCAGTGGACTCCATTTTGGCAGGTACCTAACCAGAGGGAAAATGAATTCACATGCTATCGGGAAGAAATTCCCCTTTCTCCCTAACCCTAACCCTAGATGCGATGCTCATGAGCAGAAACTTACCCGGCTCACATCGTCAGAGGAAGAGTCGGAACAGTCGGAAGGCTCGGACCAAGAAACCATGTCTCCCCTCCCGTCAGTGGTGCGAAGCTGCTCGCAACGGCAGCAGCGGCGGCGGCGGCGGCGGCGGCGCGAGAAAGGAACGAGCAGAGCAGAGAAGAGAGCGGTTGGGGAGGAATGCCCTAACGCGCGCGCGACCAGGGCTTAACTAGCGTTGTCCTAACGGCCGTTTCCGCCATTCTGTTTCCCCTTTGCCACGTGGCTCCAACAGGTGGGCCCGACAAGTCAGATTCTCAGTTAGTCGCGGCTCACAGCACGTTTAGTGCTTTTTGTTACTCACTTGCCGAGGAAGTGGTGGTTTTTTGAAATTTTCGGCAATAGTGGTGGCTTTGCAGTATCCGTGCCATAAATGTGGTGGCTTTCAGCAATTTACTCTCGGCAAGTCTAACCCCTCCGAGTGGTCCGAGTTCCACCAAGTCGACAACGGGTGGAGCGCGCGCGGCGGCCAGACGCGGAACCCGTACGTGTTGTCGTCCGACCCATGCGGGTCGAGCGCCGGGTCGGGCGTCGCTGCGGCGGCGAACATGGCGGCCGTGACGCTGAGCACCGACACCGACGGCTCCATCCTCTGCCCGTCGTCGTTCAACTCCGTGGTCGGGATCAGGCCGACCCTCGGGCTCACCAGCCGCGCCGGCGTCGTGCCCATCACCCCGTTGCAGGACACGGTCGGGTGGGTAGTAATTCTTTTTTTTTGTTGTTTCTCTTCGTCCAATATTGTTGAAATATATTGTCTGTCTCTCTCTGTTAGTTTAGACTTTTGGATGTTCGCTAGAGCATGAATTCAATATGGCAGGAAGTCTATAGTTTAAGACTCTGTCAATGCGGTGTTAAAAGAAGATTTTGTGGCCTACTTAAATCCCATGTTCAAGGACTAAATAAGTCTAGACGTGAAGGGATGTTGAAATATATTGCCCACATTTCTTATTAGTTTGTATTTTTGGATGAGTTGACTGGAGCATAAATCCAAAAAACATGAAACTCATGGCGAGTCAAAATGAAATGCAGGCCGATTTGCCGGACGGTGTCGGACGCGGTGCACGTGCTGGACGCCATCGTCGGCTACGACGAGCTCGATGCCGCGGCCACCGGAGTGGCGTCCAAGTTCATCCCTCCCAGCGGGTACGTTCAGTTCCTGAAGAAGGACGGGCTGAGAGGAAAGAGGGTCGGCGTCCTCCGTGGATTCTTCCAATCATATGCAGGCACGAGGCGACTGAGGGTGTACGAGCAGCACCTCGCCACCATGAGGTGAGTGACCAACAATTTAAATAAATTCAGCCGACTGTCGATGGCTTTCTATTATTTTGGAATGCAAATTTGGAACCTTTATGACCGATTTGATAGAAAAGAGGGAATGGTGTGCATTTTTCATTAGGGATTCTGTGAAATAAGACGTCGAGTCTTCCTCCAATTCCTTATGTGGGATATCCAATGTATTGGAACTCAGGTTAAAGATGGTCTTTATCCTCATCTTATTCTTTATATGGAATTCAGGGGGCAAGGTACCTTCGGGTCCTTCTTCTCGGTTCAACCAAATAAACTATCAAAAATGATGTGAATTTCAAAATTTTAGTGTATTTTGTTGAACTAAAGAAGGAACCTAAAGGTTTCGATTTTGCATCAATATACTCTTATTCTGTTTTATATTAATTTTGTCAAAGGAAACATGGGGCCGTGGTGGTCGATAACCTGCGTGTCGCGGCCAATCCGACGGCTCTGTTGGATGATATCAGCTCCAACGAGGGGATCGCAGTGGTGGCAGAGTTCAAGCTCAGCATAAACGCCTACTTGGCAGACTTGGTCTACTCCCCGGTCCATTCGCTTGCGGACATCATAGCTTTCAACAACGCACATCCTATACAGGTAATAATAAATAGCGTAAAAGAACTGAAAATTCTTGATTTATCTTATTATATGTTCGAAACAATAAGAAGCAATATATCCAAGAACATCTCGTGTAACTTAGTTTACCCACAAACTTTAGAGGTCGTGTTGCTTGTGCATCCGTAGTTACATCCATCGATGCAGAGGCCCGGATCCAATAAGTGAGCTGAAACCTAATTGATGACATGTTTGCTGCAGGAGCGGATGAAAGATTTGGGCAGGATGACCTTATCGCAGCCCAAAACACAAGTGGCATTGGCCCCGTGGAAAGAGTGGCGATACGACGGCTAAAGGAACTGTCAGCTAATGGGCTGGAGAAGTTGATGAAGGAGCACCAATTAGACGCGATTGTGACGCCCAACAGCGATGCTTCTAGCCTTCTCACCACAGGTGGTCACCCTGGCATCGTTGTGCCGGCGGGGTTTAACGAGCAAGGGGTTCCCTTTGGCATATGCTTCGGCGGGCTGCAGGGGTACGAGCCAAGGCTGATCGAGATGGCGTATGAATTCGAGCAAGCTACCAAAGTGAGGAAGCCACCCATGTTTAAGCCCTAGCTGGAACGCACAACCAAGAGTTAAGTATAACCCTAGTATGTGTGCATCAGTCATTCAGAAACTTGGTGTGTGTTCATGATGCTTTGTATTCCCTTCATGCTCAATACTATGAATTAATAGAAAACACCCTTTATGTCTCTTAGTTGTGCGTATAAAACTTGCTCCCGTTGTCGGGTCTTAGCCTGCTTTATATATTCGTGGTATGGTGGTAGCCTCATCTTCTCCGAGTAGGCTTATTTCTAGGAACCCAAAGCGTCTACCAACTAGGTTCGTGGTCTTCGTGTGGGCACCAAGGTCTACATATACCTAGGTCCATACACCCCTTATACTACATACATAGTATAGGCATACATAGTACGATTACTCATTGTCACACAACATTTATTCAAAACATTGCAACTCATGTGAAATATTGTCGCATGAAGTTCATCTAAGATGTTTCAGAGGGATCTCTGGCCAACAAGCATGAGGGGTGTAGGCACGAGCAATGTAGAAAAGTAGGTCTTACCCGATCTGTGGGCTTTTTTTTCGAAAAGGGGGGGCTCCACGGCCTCTGCATCAGAATGATGCATACGGCCAATTTATTAAACAAAAAAATAGCGTCAACAAGGTTCCAAGGTCTCCAAAACAATAGAAAAGTAAAGCAAGCTCACACAGAGCCATGAAGGGCTAGAAACATCGACTAGCCAAGATAAAAGGCCACAACCGGCTGGCTATGAATAGATAAGTAAACTAGATGCCTATCCTATTACATGACCGCCATCCAAACCGGTTGAAGATATCCCGAGCTACCATCTCCCATCGGAAAGATCCAGTAACCAAATGCTCCCTGGCCTCCGTCGGAGTGAGTAGCGACCACGAACGGATCCGTGCCGTAGTTCGGAATATAACCTGCAAAAAGTGAATACATGATATTCTGTTAAAAACCAAATCATTTCTGCAAGTCCAGATAGTCCACAGCAACGCGCAAACCCCAACCCGAATGTGTTTCACTAAGTCAGGCTGAATCCCATTCAGTCATGTCCCAAATAACGCGTTAACAGAATTCGGTGGTTTGATATTAAAAGCAATGTGAACCGTCTGCCAAAGGACTTTGGCCAGCGGGCAATCAAAAAAGAGGTGTTTTATAGTCTCATCCCAATCACAGAAACTACACCTAGTAGGTCCTGTCCAATTACGCTTTATTAAATTGTCCTTGGTTAAAATAACTTGTTTGTGGACAAACCACATAAACACTTTTATTTTCAAAGGAACTTTGACATCCCAAACATGCTTGGAAGTAGGAATGGAGTTCGAATTGATAATATCAATATACATTGATTTAACCATGAAAACTCCAGACCTAGTCAGCTTCCAGCGTAATTCATCAGGTTGTTGGGAAAGCTGGACCTCCATCAGTCTCCTAACTAGACGGAGCCATTCTTCCCAACGATTGCCCGCCAGCGTCCGTCGGAACTGAATATTAAGTGGGATAGATTGAAAAACCGAAGCTACGAACACCTCACGTCGTTGAACAATACGGTACAATGACGGATATTGGATGGCCAAGGGTGTCTCGCCGAGCCAAGTATCCTCCCAGAAACGTATGCAAGTGTCGTTGCCAAGCACAAACTTTGTCCTATTAAACATAGATTGTTTGACTTTCATTAGTCCTTTCCAGAAAGGTGAATCAGTCGGCCTGACTGTAACCTGGGACAAAGTTTTTGTCTGAAGATACTTGCTGCGAAGGATTTGAGCCCACGTGGCATCATTCTCCGAATAGAGCTTCCACAGCCACTTGCTAAGAAGGCATCTATTCTTAACTTCAAGGTTCTCTATACCAAGACCCCCTTGGTCTTTCGGTCTACATATGATATCCCATTTAGCAAGCCGGTATTTTCTTTTGGTCCCATCACTCTGCCAAAAGAACCGCGATCGATAGAAGTCCAGTCTCTTCCGAACACCAACTGGGACCTCAAAGAACGATAGGAGAAACATAGGCATACTCGTGAGCACCGAGTTAATCAGGATTAATCGACCTCCGTATAACATGAGCTTACCCTTCCAGCAACTCAGTTTCTTCTCAAATCGGTCCTCGATGCACTTCCATTCCTTGTTTGTCAGCCTACGATGGTGGATTGGAATACCTAAGTAAGAGAAAGGTAACTCTCCCAACTCGCACACAAACAATTGCCTATAAGCCTCCTGTTCGTCTTTGGCTCTACCAAAACAGAACAGCTCGCTCTTATTAAAGTTAATCTTTAGCCCGGTCAATTGTTCAAAAAGGCATAACACCAGCTTCATATTTCTCGCCTTGGCCAAGTCATGCTCCATAAAGATGATCGTGTCATCAGCTTACTGAAGTATGGAAACACCTTCATCAACAAGATGAGGTACCAATCCACCTACTTGACCACTTTCCTTAGCCCTTCCTATCAAAATTGCTAACATATCCACCACAATGTTAAACAGGATAGGGGACATCGGATCTCCTTGTCTTAGGCCTTTGTGTGTCTGGAAATAGTGACCTACGTCGTCATTTACTTTAATTCCCACACTACCTTTTTGCGTAAATGATTCAACCTGTCTGCACCAGGCTTCATCAAAACCTTTCATACGCAATGACTGTTGGAGAAATGGCCATTTGACCTTATCGTACCCTTTCTCGAAATCCACCTTAAAAATTACTCCATCTAATTTTTTGGAATGGATTTGATGGAGCGTTTTATGCAGGACTACCACCCCTTCAAGGATATTCCTGTCCGGCATGAAAGCAGTTTGGGACTGTTGGACCACAGAATGCGCAATCTGTGTAAGCCTATTAGTCCCGACCATGGTAAAGATTTTGAAACTAACATTGAGGAGGCATATCGGTCTGAATTGCTCAATCCTCACAGCATCTGTTTTCTTAGGAAGCAATGTAATAGTTCCAAAATTCAAGTGAAATAATTGAAGCTGTCCTGAGAACAAATCATGGAACATAGGTAGCAAATCCCCCTTAATAATGTGCCAGCACTTTTTATAGAACTCGGCCGGAAACCCATCCGGTCCGGGCGCCTTATTGTTTTTCATCTGTGCAATAGCATCAATCACCTCCTTCTCAGAGAACGGTGCCACCAGAATGTCATTTTCGGCAGCCGAAAGTTGAGGCACATCCTCAGTCCTAGACTCATCGAGGGACACACAATTATCCTCCGGCGGTCCAAATAACTGCTCCTAATAGTCAGTAATATATGTTTTTAGGTTATCCTGACCAAAAATCGTGCCCTCATCCTGTTCAAGTTGAAAAATGCGCTTCTTTCGGTGCTTGCCATTAGCAATTAAATGAAAGAATTGAGTATTCGCGTCCCCTTGGACTACTTTGCGGACTTTAGCTCGCAAAGCCCACTTTAATTCTTCTTCACGTAGCAACTCTTTCAACCTCTTCTCCGCCTCAGATTTAACCTGAAGCTCAGCTGGCAGCAAAATCGTAGATTCGGCCTTTATGTCTAGGGCCTGTATAAGAGAAAGGAGTCTATCCTTTTCAATCTTATACACACCACTTAGGTGTTTAGCCCAGCCCCGTAAGAAGCTTCTCAAGTGCCTAATTTTATTCTGCCAACGCTCGACCGCAGTCCTGCCTCCTGCACCTCTATCCCATTCCCTGGCAATCAAGTCCAAAAACCCCTCTCGTTCGAACCAGGACATCTCGAAACAAAAGGTATTTTTATTACCCACGTGGTTAGGCTCCCCTGAATCCATGAATAAGGGTGTGTGATCGGAAATTCCCCTCGAAGGAGCTTGCACCGTAACCAGAGGGAACTTTTGTTCCCACTCCACGCTTGCGAGAACTCGATCAAGTTTTTCATAAGTTGGGTTTGGCAGAGCATTAGCCCAGGTAAACTTTCTACCAAAAAGCTCTATCTCCCTCAGATCCAAGCTTTCAATAATGGTATTAAACATAAACGACCATCTGCCGTCAAAGTTACCATTATTCTTCTCCTCTCTCCTCCTAATGATATTGAAATCCCCTCCAACCAAAAGTGAAAGCTGTTCCGATCCACAGATCCGAACAAGGTCCGCCAGAAACTCTGGTTTAAGCTCAGGCTGTGCGGCACCATACACCGCCACCAAAGCCCAGTTGAAACCATCTATTTTAGACCTGACTCGAAACTTCACCGTGAAGTCGCCCATCACTACACTTCGGACTTCAAGCGAATCGCATCTCACGCCAAGTAAGATACCACCCGATCTTCCTCGCGGAGGGAGGCAATGCCAATCGAAATCAATACCACCCACAAGAGAAGACAGAAACTGGGGCGCAAAGTTTTCTCTACCAGTCTCCGATAGAGCAATGAAATCTAGACGCTGCTCTAAAGCTGCCTCAGCAAGAAATCTTCTTTTAGCCAAGTCCTTTAGACCTCTGCTATTCCAAAAGATTCCTTTCATAATTCGTCATGGAATTTTTTAGTAGTACGAATTCTAGCACTCCTACGAACTGCAGAATCGGGATAAATCTTCCGTTTCCACTTGCGTTTTGGTTTACTAGGCTCTGACGTCCGGTCCTCATAACCGGGTTCAACTGTAGTACCAGCCTCATTCTCTATGGGCACATCATCGTCCTCAGACTCATGAATATGGGGTGCTAGACTAAGCGTTCGATCTTACCCTAAGCCCTAAGATCAAGTGTCTGAACCCTATGATCAGCAGGAATCTAAGTATATTCAAACTCTGTATGTGATGGTCAATATATCTTCTACTAATCCACATAACACAGTGTTCTTTAGAAATTTTTGGTCTTAGGGCATGTACAAAGTACAATGCAAGATGCTTAGAGAGGGGCTTATGAAAATAAACCAGTTTTTTTTCTTAAGCGCCGATGAGTATATATAGCACAGGGACTTACTTACACACCTCTGCTATAAAAACAAGCAACGACGCTTAATCAAAATTTTGGTTTATTTTCACTAGCACATTGCACTGTACAAGTACATCAGAGCCAGGTCATGAGAGCAGAGCACTAGACATGTTCTTCGCCTTTT